GTAGAAAGATATACAGGGTGTTTAAAAGCTTGAGCTTGATAATCAGGCAGCCTACATGTAAAATCTCAGTAACTTCGATAATTCTCTTAACCTTTATAAACCTCAGTCTTCTCTTTTACAAAATGTGGATAATTCTTATTCCTTAGAGATCTGTTGGAAAGAATAAAGGAGATGATGAACGTAGAACATATAACATATGTGGCTTTACTAGAAGGAGGACTGACTTCACAAAAGATAATTTGGTTCAAAATCCTAAGCTTTTGAAGGGTACAAACTAAATCAAAATAAACCTCTATGCCTTCAGACCATGTATAAACTATCCCAAACTATTGACTAGCAATGCATAACATGTTGGTTAAATATGTATTAGGAACAGTAGTGGACTGGTAACAGCAGCAGTGGTAGCTCAGTAGGAGGAGGAGGTGAGTTATTAACAAATGGAATTTACTGTTTTCACTTCACTTGGAAGGTTTTCAAGTGATGATAGGAAATAGGAAATGAGTTTATTATTGAAAGCAAGTGGGTCACACTCCAGCACAGGTGTCTTAAAAGTGAATGGTGGTGGGGACGGGGATTTGGGGTGACGATGGGGAGCAGTAAGGCAATGCAGAAATCTCCTCACCCACACACACATCAAGGAGGCAACCACAGCAAATACAACTGACTCTGACATGACCTGAGACTGCAGAGCAGACCACTTACACCTGGGGAAGAAGAGAAGCCCACACAGAGAAGGGTAAAGTGGCATAGCTGCAATCAGTCGGGAACCAAGCCTTTCCCCATCCCAGACCATAGGTGGTAGGAAGAGGAACAGAGAGCAGAGTGGATAGGGGCCCAGGAATTCTGAACATATGGTCCTGGAGATGTGCTCTGGGAGCATGAGTCTCCATTGCACTGGGTGCTGGTGATTACTAGGACCAGACACCAGGAACAATTAGAGCACTCTGAGAGGCTGAGACTTTACCCACTTGTGGAGGACAGGCATGTTCTACAGGTCCCACTGAAAGCCAACGCAGAAGTGAGAGTTTGAAAGATTTACCATCATGGGAAGGATGCCAGAGGAGCAAGCGTTGGACAGAGCTCTCTCTACCACAGGAAAAAGGGTAGGTAGACCACACTTCTCCAGCCCTCCCTCAGCCCAACTGGCCTAGTGCTTGTGGGAACCCCAAAAGCTCCATCCCCCTCACTAACAGCTCAGCTGAAGGTACTTCCCTGTGCACCTGCCTGCCCCCTGGTCCCAGCAGTGGTCAGACTTGCTGCCTGGCAGGCAGAGGGAAGCTTTCCCAGCCCTTTATCAATGCAACTATTGAGACACCTTCAAGAGCCAGCTCCAAACACTGCATCCTCCTCCCTGATGAACCAGCCCCAAGCCACACTCTGAGAGTGTACCTGCCCCATCCACCCCTTCAGCCCAGCAGCCTCACCAGCACTATTGCTGCAGGGCAGGCAGAAGTCAGACCTGCCCACAACAATCCTAGCAGAAGCACCACAGCAGGGCTCACAAAGGGCCAGCAGAAGTGAGCTGCTACCTGCTGCCTATGGCCTGGGATCAACCACTGTTGGCAGACAGGCAGAAAGGTGGCTCTGCCCATAGCCCACCACAGCGACGGTGGCTCTACCACACAGGAGAACCAGGCCCTGGTGAGTAAAGAGTCTGGAACTTCTAGGCACCACAGGGATGCCTTCATCACAAAGCCATTACCCTCCAAACCAGGAGGCATAACAGATCAATCTAATACAAAGGAAGAAACACCAAAACCCTGACAAAATGAGGAAGCATACGAATATGTTCCAAACAAAAACACAGGATAAGACACCAGAAAGAGAGCTAAATGAACCAGAGATCACAAAACTTCTTGATAAAGATTTCAAAGTAAAAGTCATAAATATATTCAATGATCTGTGGAAAACTTTTGATGATCTCAGGGAGGACTTCAGGAGAGACAAAAGAGTGGAAAGAGAGCCATTCAGAGCTGAAGAATACAATGTCTGGAATGAGAAGGAAAAAGGGGCACAAAGATTCTCAATCGTCATATAAGTCTGTCACAGAGATGGTAGTGCAGCATGTAGATATAACCACTGATTCTGTAGCATCTTCCTATGTTGACAGATGATAACCATACTAGTAGAGGTGAGGATTTAATAATATGGGTAACTGTTGACTGTGCTGTATACTTGAAACCAATGGAAGATTGTTTATTGACATTTCAATAAATAAATAGATATATTTTTTAAAAAGTGGATGGCAATTGGTTGTCATGATTTTCATAATCCCTCAGCTGAGAAAAAAATACTTTTATTTTAGTCAACTAAAGCCTAAGCTTTATATCTTTTGTGTACTACCTGTTTGCCTTTCACAAACAGTATATGAAATAGGCAGGCAAGGTCTTCCTTACTTAGAGGAATCCCCTTTCTTGGACCCGAACAATCAACTAGGACTTACGAGTGACAATAGGTGACAACAGTTCATATCATCTACACCCAGGCTACTTAAACACATGTGGCATTTATTAGAAGTAGGGGTGACTTAACCAAAAGTAATATTGTTCCAAATCCTCAGCTTCTGAAGGGAGTGAACTGTAAGTCAAAATAATTAATAAAACCTCCATGATTTTAGCAGATGTATAAATTACCCAAAACCATTGACTAGTAATTACATTTATATTTGAAGAACAGATTGGATGATTTTCAGAATCCATATGAAACTGACATCTGCTTCAATGTAAAAGAACAAGCAGTATGGAATCAGAATTTTAATGCCATTTGCTGAAAGCTGCAATCCCAAGGAATGTCCACAAGATCTTTTTTCTATGCACAAAAAAATTAGTGGCTGCTGCCTTCATGAAAATGTACATTTATAGTCTTCTAATGTCTTTTAAATTACCAAGGTTTTCCTTGAATTATATTAGTTTCAAATAATAGTCACAAACTCTAACCACTACCTTAATAATATGAGAGCTGCAAATATTGCATTTGCAGATACTGTCTGGGCACTCTGATGAAATCAAGCTGGTCCAAATGGCAATCATCAAGGGCTACAACTAGATTTAAATCACATTCATTGAATATATGACAAACCCTAATGCCATTTATCCTGTTACTAATTAAGCTGTCATAGTAGTTTTGATGTCACTAATCAATTCCTTCAGTGAACCACCTAAACAGGATAATAAATAGAAATGGATAGGTATCTGACCACTTAACTCTTCAATTTATAGAGCAAACCAACCACCTAGTTTTTCAAAGTCAATAGTCTTAATACCTGTATAAATTATTCAAAATTGGTAAAGCCAATATGGAAGGAACAGGAAGATAAATGAAATACTATGTGCTGAATTACAATGGGTTAAGAAATAAGTAATAAACTTTCCAAGAAATTACTCTAATCAATGCATTAGTTGATACTGCTCATTACTAAGTGATTGGACACAACGTGTGTCATTGTTGGGCAAGGTGTTTTAAAAGCCTTACCTTTTGAATTTTGAATTTCCTGCTTTCTCTTCCCCTTGCCATGACCACAAGCAATGCTTCAGATAGCGGACACGGCAGCAGCCTGGCTTGCTGGGAGAATAGGCATAGTGGGAACTCACTCCTCAGCCCCAGGCAATGTGAAATGGACACAGACCAAGATGAACATTTGATGTTAAAAGTCATCAAGATTTTGAGGTTGAGAGTAATCACAATGTAAATTAGTCTACTGTGACTGATTGAAGCAGAGACAATGCCTGATACAGACTTATAATAGCAGACTCTTAAAAACTTTTAGCCAGCTTAAACGAAAAAGAACAGCAAAATAAAACTGGAATGGTTTTATCGAGAAACTGTTCTATATAATAGGATATTAGATTCATTTTAGCTGAAATATTGCTGAAAAGTTATCCCACCTTCACTGATTTGAGTGATTTTCCTGGTAATTTTAAATTAGGAAACTTGAGTTATTAA